CCATCCCCTGAACCACGGTGTAGTCGTACATGTGGCACTCGCCCATCTTGACGTGTCCTGCCCGAAGCGGAGGCCCGGCGAGCTTGAGACGTTCCGCTGGGCTGAGGTCGGGGTTGTTGCCGGACACGTCGTAGTAGAGCTCTGCCTTGAGGAGGCCGAATCCCTCGAGACGCATGGGCGATGCGGAGTAAAAGCTCACGTCCGCGTCAATCACGAGCTGGTTGGTCGTCGTGTTGCCGTGCGACATCTCGAGGTTGCTCGTGGCGTAGTTGGTCAGCTGAATCGGTGGGAAGGTGGTCTCCTTGTCGATGGAGAGCGGGAAGGGGATCCCCATCGACCAGACGGTGCTCTCGCCGGTCATTCTCCACGGCACAGCGTCACCGTTGAGCATACGCTTCGCCATCTGAGTGGGCGAGGCGGGCGGTCAGAGGCACTAGGAGGGGTGAGAAGGCTCCTCGCTGGGGGCGGGGGCGGGAAGTGCAGCGCGCCCTGTTGAAGGCCGCGGCGTCGGTCACGTGCATCACTGTAGACGGATTGATGACGCCCGGGCCGTTGCCCTTGAGCGTGAATGGCGGGACCACCATCCAGCCGATCGTCCGGCCGCTGGGCGCGCCCTCCTCTGGCGGGCCATGGACGGTGGCGTTGAAGGCGTCGACGTCGCACCCGAAGGGACCTAACACCGGGCCGGAGGTGAGGCAAGGGAATGGGCGGCGGCGGGGAATGGGCGGCGCGCCGGCGTTGTTGATCTCAACGACGGCGGAGACCCTCATGCTGGTCTCGGTTGGAGCGCTCATCGTCGCGTTATGGATGTTGATGCTCGTTGCGCCGACGAGCATGTCGAGCACTGCCGGAATAATAACGTACCAGATCATCGGAATCCAGAACAGTGCCGCAAACGAAAGAAGCGCCAGCATCGTGTAGCTGGTGGCCTTCACCGAGCCGCAAAAATAGCGGTGCGCCTTCGTGACGCATCCCGGCTCAGAGTGTGGCTCTTCCGGCCGCAGCGCGACCAGCGGTGCGACGCGCGGCTTGGCTTGGCCGTAGTCGGAGCGGAGCCGCTCAAGGGTTTTCTCGTCAGGAATCGACGTGCGCTCGGACATGGCGAGTATTGCCGACAGTGGAGTGGGACTGGAGGTAACAGCAGCAGCAGCAGCAGCAGCAGAGCGTGATCAAGGGATCAAGGCCTCCTTATCACGCTTTCCTCGCAAACCACTCCAGGCGCCGTTCTTCGAGTTATTTTTCTTTCTTTGAATAGGAGGGACTGTTCTTAAAACGGTTTGCGGTGCCAGCTTCAGCGCTGACCGGCATCTGCGGGGTCTCGGCTAGGGTCTCGGGCGTCGTCGGGGAGGGGGTGCGGTGCAGGGTGCTCGGCCGTGAGCCTCGCCCTCGGGCGCGGCTAAAATAAACTCCACTGTCGGATCTTCTGCACTCAGTCTTTACACATAAAGACAGAGAGATTTTTGAAAACCAACAAGAAATCACGACTGTCACTGTGATTTGGGCTCGGCAGCTTCTCAGGTTCTCAAGAAAAAAGAATTGCTTTAGAAGAAAAACGAGCACGCATATTCTCCCCCCTCCATTCTCTCCCCCTTGGCGCGGGCGCCCCACTCCCCCCAGCCCCTGAATCGCGTACTAGCTGTGGCTACCGTAGGCCACACTTGCGTCGCCGGGGGTTCCCTGCCCTAATGGGAAACTGGCCGCTGATCCGAAGACCGACTGCACCAGGGTTTGCTAGATCGCGCGGGGTGAATGAGTGATGAAGTTAGTGCCTTGGGTGCCCGTTCCCCATGGTGGCTTCCCCTGGTCTCACGACCATGAATGAGAGCTCTCACTCCCAGGGTACTCCCGCGTATCTCGGCTCCCTTATCCCCCCCCTCTTCCCTCCCCTTTCTCTCTCCGAGATGACCCGTGCTCTACGTGCCTAGGTTCGGTCCTCGGGGAGGGGGGATTGGCGGTGTGTCCTCGCGAGTTTTTTCGCTGGACGCCCGACAGCTTCGATTTCCCTCCTTAGCGCCCCGGGTAGAGCGTGGTCTCCCCTGGAGCCTGCCACGCCCGTTCTGTCTAAGCCCAGGGTTCAGCTTTCCAGTTGATCCTTATCGGACTGGTGAGTTCCTTCTCGCTGTCAGTGTGACGCCCCGGCAGACATTGGCAGCGGTGCTACACACACTATGCCATTTTTCGTTTGACGTTTTTAAGGGTGTTCTTTTTTAACAATTTCTACGGGCTAGCGATGTCGCAGTACATGCGCTCTCGCTGTCAGTGTGACGCCCCGGCAGTCATTGGCGGCGGTGCTACACACACTATGCGTATGCCAGGATTCGTTTTCTCCAGGGGAGTGTTTTGTTTTGACAAGATTTTATGGGCTAGCTATCTCGCAGTACATGCGCACGAGCTTACCGTATTGTTGCACTATGCACATAGCGGTTTAACAGGAGAAAAGAAATTTTCGCCGTCGTGTTTTTCTTTTTATGCGTATGGCAGTAAAAAGAAACGGAACTGCGTGCGGCAGGCGCGGGCTCGGTCGATATCCCATACTCCGACTACATCTTCATTGCTGCGGTGTGAGTGTGCCCGGGGAGGCGCGGCTGCGGGGTGGATTGAGAAGGTCTCAGAATGCAGAGAAACTGCAGGCGTGGGCAGAGGCGCGCGCTGCAGTTTCTCTGATCGGGCTGCTAGCGGTGTGGGCGCGGGACGGCGTGGTGAGGCGTGAGGCAGGCTATTGTTGTGGGGTGCGGGCTGCGTCGTTAGGCGTATGCGTGCCCATAGCTGTATGCTGTGTGTGCAGGCAGGCTGGCGGTCTGTGCAGCAGAGAGCGGTTGAGCGCGCGCGCGCGCTCGTGCGGGCGTGCGTGCGCGCAGCGTGCCACGCGCGCGCCCCGTGCAGTGCAGACAGGCGCGAGGCGGCAGGGGCGCAGTGCGGAGCACGCGGGCTGATGGTGCTGTATGCTGTGTGTGCAGGCAGGCTGACAGGCTGTGCAGAAGACTGAGCGGATGAGCGCGCGTGCGGGTGCGTGCGTGCGTGCGCGCCTTGCGTGGTGCAGAATCTGCGTCGTACTCGCGGCGCGTCCTGGTACAGCCGCTTGTGAGATGCCAGAAGCAGTGTGCAGAGCCTGCACATGGCGCAAAAAGGCGAGGTAGTGCTGGTGAGGTGTGCTGCGGCGCGCGCGTCGCGGCGTGAGTGGATATGCGGCTTGCTCTGGTGGTGCGAGGGGCGCGTGGCTGGTGCGGGCGGCGCGGGACGGCCATGGGGCGCCAGCACAGGGCAGACGCACATGACACAGGCTTCTGGGCGCTACGCGTGTGTTTGCGTGCGCGCGGGGACGTACGCGCAGTTTTCACGCGGTGTGCGTGGAGAAGGGCATGAGGGGCGCCGGCCGCGCGTGTATTGGCGTGTGAGAGTGCGTGGTGCCCGAAGGCGAGAAGGGGCCCGAAGGCAGGGAGGAGTTCTCCGCCTCGCATCAACGAGACTTGAAGAAAACCTCTCTCAGGTTCTCAAGAAGAAAGAGATAGAGAGAGATTTCAAAAAGAGATCTGCATCTCTCTCTCTCGCAAGGTAGAAGGATCAAGGTTGTCGCACAGGTTCACTCAGATCTCAGCACTCAGCCGAAAATACAAACGGACACCCCTTCTAGGAGATGGGTAAAACCGAGGCTCTGTCTCTGTGCACTCTGGTTTCGTTATATATCGTTATTTTTGCCTGTCCGTGTCACCCCCGCGGCATCCAGTAGCCTCGT